TTAGAAACAATAATGTTTTACATAGTTATCACACTTCTATTGAATGTGAATCTAGCACAAAAATCTATAGCGCTTACCGTTTTAAACAAATAAAAAAATCCTTTCAATCCATTCTCAGGGCTGGCTTGGCTGAAAATCTGAGCCTACCCTAGACTCAGACCGCTCCGCCGCCTATGGGCTCGAGTTCAGTTTGATTCGTTTTCAGTCTCTGTTGGGTAGTTTGTTAACTTTGTAAAACCTCTCCAGAAAATGATTAAAAACAGTTATCTTCACTATCTGATTTAAGATATAGAATTTTGCTCAGTATCTAACTCGATTCGTTTTACGATAGTTATTCGGATAAAAGACCGTCAGAATACAGCAAATTGTTAATCGATATCTTTGTTTTTCATAAAATTCACATCGTTTTCGCTTGTGTAAAAAAAAAGAACAAAGTTAGACTAGTTGAATCAGTAATTCGAAACCAAAAATCATGATTAGTTGTGAAACCAATAATAGAATCACACAAACAATTGTTCACTGTTACTTTCATCGGTACCAAAGATGAGAGCTTTCTGGTAGGCATTGAACTTGTCCAAAGATACTTTGGGCAAATCAGTATTGACACTATCTAAACATAATTTCGAACAGATGCATTTGCATAGATAATTTCAATTGAAAAGTGTACCTGTCATGACAAGTTCTGTGCTCCAGTGTGTCAGAGTACAATTATTTTCCACTATTTGTTTTCGTTTTTTTCGAAACTCTTCAAGCGATTGATCACATACAAACGAAGTTGGGCTCATGCTAACATAAGCAACGATACGAAGTAGATCGATCGGTTCATCTTTTGCCCGTTCTTCAATTGCAGTAGCCGGTGAATTACAATGAACCATGCGACTGTCCCAAAGGACAAGATCACCAGCTTGACAATGAACGAGTTTGCCACGAGTTATAATTGAATGCTCGTTAGGAATCTCGATAAAATCTTTAGAATATTTTGTCACTTCATCCAATTCATGAAAACGTAGATGTGAATGTGGAAAAACAATAAGACCGCCTGTTTTCTCATTTTGATCAGTAAGCGTAACAAAACCTTGAATACAACATCGATTTGGTTTTTATTTTGGATTTTGATCAACATGGTACCAGCCACTTCTTGTCTTCCATTCTGGATTATTACACCAATCCCGAAAAATACAACATCCATCAAATGAAACCAACAATTGTTGAGTGTTCCATATGTGAGCATAAACTTTTTTCACTTGTCTATTCGATCGAATATTCCATAAAAAATCGGATTGACCTATACCACGTCCATTGATGACGCCATATACACAAGAATTGAGCCTAGTAAAACAACAGAGGACTAGCGCTTTTCGATGTAAATAATTTTACCATGGATTTGACCATGTTTCCGGCTGATCACGTCGAATTTGACCATTAGAAGCATCCTCCAGAAATTTCCATAACAAGTTTTTGTTATCATCGATCTCCTCCCGATTCAGTACATCACTGATAACAACATATCCATTCTCATTCAAATACGCGAGACCTTCGTTCAATGTGTTGTCATTTTTCACTGAATAGCGTACTGTCGGCGTTGTGTAATCAATTTCAATGTCCGTCTTGCTCGAGTGAGAAATTGGTTGATCCATATAATGTAACTGACTTTCTGGTGAACAAGTGTTTATGAGCACGAGCTTAGTGAGTCTACAAAAATCCTTAAAAAAAAGTAAAGGAACTTCAGCTAACGTCTGATTGATAAAAGACACATCTAACTTAGTCACTCTACATGTTATCGAATACCCGATTTGAGACACGGACGAATCTCATTTATCTCTGATTTGATGAGAAAATATTTTTGTTCAATAATTGTCTATTTTTTTCAAAGTTAACTTAACATGTGCAACGAAAATGTTTAAAACAAATAAGTTTTCTTTTTTCTCGAAAAAAATCTAACTGATGAAAAGAAAAGCATCGAGAAGTATTTTCTTGACACATACTATGCATTTTGAAATGTATTCATTTCCAGAATTAGTGGCTCGTAACTTACCTGAAGCGTTAAATACAAAACTATGGAAGTTGTTCTATAAGTTAACTGTTACACAGATATTCGTTGTATTAATATAATCTAAAACAAAAAAAAACACATAAGTAGCACAATAAGAAATAAGACGAAACATTTTTTCTCTGATAAGTGTTCAATGTCTCAAAAATAACATGTAAAAAATTTAAAAAAAACGAGGATATATTTGGAATGTCGAAAAACTTCAATGAATTATTTTAAACATTCTCAATAAAATTCCTTTATCAAGTATTGAATGTTGATAAGCTTTTATAAAATACACAAAAAAAATTATATAAAAAGTAAATAAACTTCAACGTCAAGTAAAGTGTATTCTTCAATTCAGTAACACTAAAACGAACACACTACTAAGTAGACATCCAACTCACAAAAATGAAACAATTTCATGCAAAGAATAATATATTTTCATTTATATTCATGTATACCGACTGTATATATGCACGCTTGTTTCTTTTCTGCTAAAATGCACTTAATAACCTTTATTTATTGTTATGCATATTGACTTATTTATTAAAATGTTTATTGTAAATAATTAAAAGTTGGACATAAGTGCTAATACATTCATGAATATAACACAAAAAGAAAAAGATGATTTATGTGACGGTATAAATTTTCAGAGTATTTATAAAACACACGAACACCCAAAATGGTTGAATATAGTAGTAGTCGTCTAATGCACACTATTGGTTCGAATCTACGAGCATTTCATCAACACTCATATGTTTTGACAGTAAGAAGGTCCTAATTGAGTTAGGTGCATGCCCGAAATTTCAGCTTTTTATATGCTTGCATAATGAAAATAGTAGAGACCGACTTTTTCAATTTTAAGTCTCATAGTTTTATTTTGCTTATACATTTCGAATTTAATTATAGTGCTTAAAATTGAAAAAGTCGGTTCCTGCCATATTTTCTTATGCAAGCATGTAAAAGGCTGAAATTTTGGGCATATACCTCACTCGAGTAGGGCTTTCTTACTGTCAAAAGATATGGATGTTTATAGATTCGAAAAAAAAACAGGGTGAATTGGATGACCACTTCTATATTCACCCATGTTGAATGTTCTTTGAATCAGCTCAGCGAGATATCACTTTCCGATTGGAAGTGTTTGCGTATTTTCCAAATACCCATTTTTAAGGACTCTCTGGAGAGGATCGTCATAACCTATCTAGAAGTAGCTGTTGTAAAGTTTGACGATTGCTTGGTGTTCTTCCTTAGGCAGAAGGATTTTTCATAATGTTGCTTATCTAAAAGGCATTTGAAGTAACTTGAATTATTCGTTAATACATACGAGGAAAGGTTCCTAAGCGATGACCCGAGATTTCAGCTAAAACTGCGTGGATTTGCTACATCAAGCATCCTGATGTCAAGTATGAAGTAATAATTGACTGAGGTCGATCCAATAAAAAGTTGTAGTCAAAAGATTTTATTCGTCATTTACGGGAACTCATTATGAATAATATTCCAACAGAAATGATTAAACTTTCTTTTCAATAAATATCTGCAACTATCGAAGAAATTTGTGCAACTGTTGGTAAGATTGAATCATTCCTATTATTAATACCATGACATGTTGATCGAAAATTAATTGATGAAAAGAATGTTATTGAGTGACATCTGTCAATAAAGCCATATTGTTTTTTCATTCACTTTCCTCCTACATACCAATGGCTAGTTGATCCGATCTTCTCTCATTCTTTTCTTTCATCTCTCAGTGCAGCATAAACGTGTGTATGTGTGCGTTTTTTACTACAAGGTGAACAGTTGTTGTTTACTTTTTCTTTTCTCTTTCTTCTTCGTTCTTGTCTCAAGAAATTTGATCTCAAACTCGATAGAGATTGATCATATACGTTGGTTATAGGTTTTTACATAAGAATATTCATTTTTTTTTTTCTTCGTATTGGAATTTATTTTTATGATGAGATAACAAAAAACTTTTGCGTATGGCAGGTATGAAAATAATAATACAGTCAACGTAAATATTAAAAGTAATATATATATATAGGTGATTGGAGAATCAGTGCCGAGGAACGAACAAAGTACGATTTGTACTTTCAACAATGTAATCCAATACAAGGTTATGTAACAGGTATAATTTAGAAAATATTTTAAATAAAATTTTCTACACAAAATTATTATTTTCTTTTTAACAAGGTGATCAAGCACGAAATTTTTTTCTAAAATCAGGTTTACCTGGAGATGTTCTTCATAAAATATGGTAAATTATTTTTTTTATGTTTTCCACCAGGACAAAATAATCATATGTCGTCGTTTTTTTTTTCCTCTAGGAATCTTTCGGATATAACAGCTGATGGTCGTTTAGATAAGCGAGAATTTACTATTGCTTGTCATCTAATATCATCTCAAGTAAATAGAAAAAAAGAAAACTTTTTTTTCTAATCATTATGTTTAATCTTAATTATTTAAGGTTCAGAAAAAAATACCACTACCGCAAAATCTTCCACCGACTCTTCTTTCTGATGCAATTGCAATAACAGCAAATGGTGTACCACCACCAATGTCTGCATTACCATTATCATTAGTTCGTAAGTTATTTCGTGTTAATCATTTTTTTTCTCAGATATCTAAAAACAAAGTATTGAAATAAAATCTTTCATATTCAAGGACCTGTCACTAGTTGGGGTGGTAAGCTTGAAATGCATTGTGTATATTGATTTGAATAATGCTTTTATTAACCTATTGCTCTACTTCATATTGTTTCTATAATAACCAACTATTTTTCTTTTTGTCTTTTAGCTTCTGGTCAATCATTAGTTCCTGTGTACGTAGAAAAGAAATAATCGATTGAGTTTTGTTTCTTGATGTTTTTTTTTAAATAATTTTTAGTCAATCTTTAAAACCAGTTATAATACCACCTGCACCATTAACACCAACAATTCGTTCAAAATATCTTCAACAATTTCATTCATTAGTTGATGTAACAAAAACAAATGGATTTATGAGTGGTTTACAAGCTAGAAATCTTCTTCAACAAACTGGTTTATCACAAACAGTACTACATCAAATATGGTAAATTATATTGTTTAAATAATAACATTTTTATTAAATTCTTAATTAAAAAAATCTTTAAATTTAGTTTCGATTAAGTAAAAAAAATATTTTTCTTGTAGTTCTTAAATTACATACATTCCAATATTATAAACATAATCATATACAAAAAAAAGAAATCATTGTTTGAAAATACGAACATCTTTCAAACAAATACTCTAATATTTTAAAGTCTATTCAGGATAATTTAATAATACTTTATAAATATTATAAATCTGCTCCAGGTATTATGAAACTTGTTGATGTTAACATATCGATCAATCATCTTTTTTGTGACTGAATAGAAAAAATAAAGTCATTATACCAATATTCTTGATTCTATAGACATAAGACTTATTAATGACAGATGAGTATGAAAACAAAATTGACTGAGAACTATGTTTATTTAATGACTGGTCAAAATAAATAAACAATTATATTGATTAGAGTAAACGATCTAATCAAACATAATACATAAGAAAAGACAAATCGAATAAATATTTTATAATATACTATTTAGTAACAGTCTGTATGATAAAAAAAAACTGTGTTTTTTTTTTAATACAATATTGAAGAAAATATTGCTTAAGTCTATTAATTAATCATCGACGTGAAGATCTATGGATCTTTATATACAAGAAAGAATATAGAATTGATCAATAAAATCAAAATTTTTCATTTCTCTTGTTTGCTAATGTCTATTGCTTCTTATTCGTCTTCTTTTTTTTTTTTGAGACAAAACCTTTTCAATGGATTATTGATATTTTCACTCGAATTCATTTCTTTATCTATATCGTTCTCTCCTTCTAATGCCAGGATTATATGTCGCACGAGCATTTACCGCACGGCAATTTATACGATTGACATAATTTTGACCACAGTACTAATGTAGATTTTCTTATGATTAAATAATTCAGTAAATTAAGTTTGAAATATAGACTATAAGAATAATGTAGGATATAATTATTTCAAATATTACATAGTTTCTATTATATAAGTAGAAGTTGCAAACTATATTCATTATCATTCATAATTCTTAATTCGATCTAAAATGAATAATCTTCAATAAAATCTATTTTCAAGTTTATTATGAAAATTTATAAATTTCTATTGCTCATCATGAAATAGCAAAAAAATCTAAATACTATTTTTTTTTCCTGCTACCTAACAATTTCAATAGTTCTATGTCTTTCCTACAACTATGACTATCTATAGCTCTGAACGTAGAGTTCGTGTACTATACAAACTAATTAATTACAAGTGTAGATGTATGTCACAACCTAGTTGGATTATACGAAACAAATACCTTTCAAAGTCATTCTATAGCTGATAGTACATTATGAATAAGTTCGAATGACTTCAAAAAACTCTGCTAAATTTCTTTTAAATCTTACCTTTGCCTAATAATATATATCGAAAATGAGTTACTAAAATCGAATTCAAGGTGATGGTGTGGGCGTAAGTGTAACCTTGATTAAACACCTACATCTACAATTATACTTTGGATTTACGCTATTGTAGACTTAAATTTAGGTCTGGAAGATTCATTTTCTTGTTTTCTCTAATTGTAATTTCTTTTAAACTGACGATAATATTATTCATTAAGTTACTAATAACTTTTCATGCAATCATTTCATCTACTAGCAAGTTATATATTCTATTCAATAGATTCTTCTCAATAGTCGAAAATTCTCATATGATTTATTTTTAATGAAATTTTTCTTTTCAGGAATTTAGCTGATCATGATAAAGATGGTCGTTTAACACCTGATGAATTTGTTGTTGCAATGCATTGTTGTGATGTTGTACGTGCTGGTCAAATTTTACCATCTCGTCTACCTGATGATTGGTTAAATACAAATATAACACAACGTGAACGTTCAAATTCATTAGCAAAACCTAATATTTATCCTGCATTTATTAATATTAATCAAGAACTTAAAGATACATTTAAATCAACGATTACAACAGAAAATCATTCACCTGAAACAGTAGAAATTGAACGAAAAAATAGCATTGTTACTTATGAAGAAAAACGTCAAAAGAATTATGACGTTTGTATTCATAATTCATAGATTTTAACAAACTAAAATATTTTATTTTACTTTTAGGATGGTTTAAAAGAATTAGAACGACGTCGACAATTATTACGTGAACAAGAAGAACGTGAACATCGAGAACGTGAAGATCGAGGTAAATAAAAATATCTATTTTTTTTTCTTCTATCTAATAATAAATTATTTTATAATAGAACGTAAACATGAATTAGAATTACAAAAACAAAAAGATGAACAAGAACGTCGAAAACAAATTGAATATGAACGACAAATAGAAAGACAAAAACAAATTGAACAGAAAAAAGAAGAAGAACGAAAAAAATTATTTGAACAACGAGAGGTAAATTCAATAAAATCTATTGATCATCATATGCATGAATCAAAAGATCACATCTTTAATATCTAAAATAAGATAAGTTTGAGTCATATTCATGCAAAAACAAAAAAAAAAAAATCATTTTATTTTGCGTTATGTATGAACAACTTTTCTTTTTTTTAAATGATATTTGATTCTAAAATATATATATATATATCGATGAGTGTGTTTTTTTGTTTTGTTCAAATATAATTCATCTATTTAGGCAGCACGAAAAGAAATGGAACGTAGAAGTCGTTTGGAATGGGAACGTCAACGTATGCAAGAATTATCAACACAAAAATCACGTTTACTTGAACAATTAAATGATTTAAAATCTCGTGAAAAAGCAATTGAACTTGAATTACAAAGTATGGATGATACAATACAAACAAATCAAAGAAAAATAAATCAAACAAATACAAATATACAAACAATTGATCAATCAATAAATGATATTCAAAAACGTACAATACAAGAAAAAAATCTTTTAGAAAATTTTGAACAACAACGAAAAGATTTACATATTAAATTAAATTATTCACGAACAGAAAGAGAATCACTTGATTCATCATTAAAACATCTTAATCAATCGAAAGAATTCGGTAAGAATAATTTATTAACTTCTTTTTGTTTTTAAACATATTTTGAAATTTTTACTGACGAAGGAACATTCCCAAGTGATTCGCTCTGGTTTGATTCATTCAATAGAGTATATTGAGATAAGAAATAGCCTAAAAGGATTCATGCTCATGGTCTAGTAGTGAGGAGTTATGACCGTTTTACTATGAGCCCGGCATTACGGAAAAAACCAAAATGAAACATTTCGAGCTGAAATTCTATATATAGATAGATTTAATATAGTCCTAGAAGTTTCAATGAAAACGAACATGTCTGTCTCGAGTTATTCAACTTTAAAAAAAAACTGTTTACAATAATCCAGTTTAGTTGGAAATTGAATATCTCGATAAAGACATGTTCGTTTTCGTTGAAACTTTCAGGACTATATAATGACTATGAAATCTATCTATATATAGAATTTCAGCTCGAAATGTTTCCTTTTGATTTTTTCCGTAATGCCTGGCTCACAGTAAAACGGCCATAACTCCTCACTATTAAGCCATGGACACGAATCCTTTTAGGCTATTTCTTATCTCAATATACTCTATCGAATGACTGACGAATAAATCAAAACAGAGCAAATCACTTGGAAATGTTTCCTCGTAAGACTAACTCGTAGCCATAATATGAAATTCTAAACAGAAAGAAAAATAAGAAATTTTTAAAATTTTATTATCAATTACAATGATGATAGATCCTTGTGTCATTGACTTACACTTGTAGTTATGATAGAACTCATTCGAATGAATTTATCTTTATTAACAAACTGTTTGAAATTTTCTCAGATTAATCTAAACTTTAGTCTTTATAAGTATTTGATTCATTGAACTTGATCTTTCATTTTTTATTTAATATTAATACGGTTATATTTTCCCAACCTATATTTATAGGTATGGGTAATCGAGAATCTGATCAAATGAAATTTTTTCAACTTCAACTTGACAATGTAAAACAAGAAAGTACACATGTTGATGAACAAATTACAACCATGAATCAACAATGTAAACAATATCAAAATCAAATGGAGGTTTGTTTGTTTGTTTGTTTTTCTAATGTAAATAAATTTTTATATTCATAGGAACTTCGTCGTCAACTTAATCAACTTGAACAAAATGCTAAAAATAAAAAACCAGCAAAGTAAAGAAGAAGAGAAAAAAAAACGAAATTTTTAAAATTCTTTAACATGATCATTTTATTTATTTAGCAAAGTTACATTACCCACAACAACAACAACAACTTATGGTAAATATTTCATTATGTTTCTATGCTCTAAGTTTTTTTTTTTTTTTTGTTATTGCTTAATAAAAATTTCTTAGCTAATTATGATCAGTTTTATCCTAAAAATGATTTAAATGCTCAATCTCATTCGTTTCCTGTTGCTTCTTCATCTACTGCTATTGATGTCGATCCATTTCAAACAGTCGATCCATTTGCTTCTCAATCTGATATAGGTTTACCGACAGCATTAACCAATAATGATTGGTTTCAATCATCAAATAATGGAATAACTAAAAATGATCCATTTATTTCTAAAAATGAAATTTCTCCAAAACCTAAAAAAACTGCACCTAAAGTAAATATTAAACAAACATCAACAGTTGATCCATGGGGTGGATCAACAATAACTAATACTAATCATGGAAATGATTGGACATCATTTAATAAAAATAATAATAGTATAAGTTCATCATTTGGTACAACAAATGAATGGCCACAATTATCATCAACTATTTCAAATGGAAGTTCTTCATCTGGTTAGAAAAATTTTAAGGAGTATAAAATGAAAAATAAAATTTTTTTTTTTGTTTTTTGCATTATTTAGGTATTATTCAATATCGAGCACTATATGATTATATACCTCAACGTTCTGATGAATTAGCAATGTCAGTTGGAGATATTATAACAGTAAGTTAATTGATTTTTTTACTTAATTTTAATAAGAAATAAAAGAAAATAATATTTAGAAAATATTCAAAGAGGCAAGTTTTGCTTTTTTTTTCGAAAATTAAGCATGACAATTGAATTTCTTTTTATATTTAAAGCATGCTTATTTTTCTTCATTTCACGCATATTTAGTTCGATTGACACAAATGATTGAAATATACTTCTTTTTTTTCTATGAAACACGATCTCAAAGAAATATTAAAATATAGGGACACAATTTTGAATCTTGTCTCTCTCATAAAACATGGTTAGAGATGTAAGTTGATACATTAATATGGCAACGGGATAGCTTAGTCAATCGGTTTACAACTTTAACCGTGAATTTTTCAGAGAACTAAGACAAAAGAAAATATGTTTCAAAATAGATAGAATAAGAAACTATTCTTTTGATTAGCAAGAGAAGTTTTCATCGTGTTTCATATTTTAATCTTACTAAGGATTGTGCTAAACACTGTTACAATTTTTAAGATTGATACAACACATAAACAACAAGATGAAAATTGGTTATTCGGAAAAATTGGAAATGATAGACAAGGATTTTTTCCAGCTGCTTATGTTGAACTTATGCCGTAAGTAACGAAATGAATTCGAATTTTATTCAAAGATTATTTGTTTTTATATAGATCAACACCTTCGTCTGCTAATGGAAATACTGTTGATACAAATTCACAATTAATGGTATAATAAAAAAAAAAGAAACGAATTGATTTTTTTAATTAAATTTATGATTTTGTTTTAGTCTGGATCATGGGTGATAACATTAGCAGATTATCAAGGCAAAACAGTTGATAAACATTTATCATTTCAAAAGGGTGAACTTATTCTTGTACGTGAACAAAAAGATGCTGCTTGGTATAGTGGACAACTTCGTGGAAAAGTATAAGACAAACTTCTAAAATAATATTTGTTTTAGTAAAAGAAAGATTTTATTTAGATTGGTTGGTTTCCAAGAAATTATGTTAGACCAGCAACCGAAATTGAAATACAAAACAATAAAAATACAACAAAGTAAGTGAATTATTTTTAGATAATATAAATTAATATATCGTACAGTTACCCATGAGAAATCAATTGTGACAAGAATTAAAATTCGAATTTCAATTAGCTAAAAAAATTTATTAAAAAGTAATTTACATTCTTTTTTCCGGCAGACTTTTCTAACATTTCCTAGATAGGATTGTATTGATAAAAAACGAAATCTTATCTACTAATTAATAAATGTGTTCGAAGAAAAAAGCCAATTCAGTAAGAAATAGAAACATGACCTGAACTCGATTTTAGCATGCAAATAAAATAAAAAGTGATATGTCAAATGAAAACTATGTTGTACTTTGTATAGCAAGCGTACTGTTTCCATTGATGTCGACGATCTTTGTCTACAACGACAAGGAATGATCATAGTGAGCAGCTATGTTTGAGTGGTTAAGTTTGACACATACTCACAAGGGATCCGGACAGTTGCTCGCGGGACAGTTGCGCGCGGACACTTGCTCGCGAGACAGTTGCGCGCGGACGCTTGCTCGTGGGACAGTTGCTCGCCAGACAGTTGCGTGCGGACACTTGCTCGCGGGACAGTTGCTCGCCGGACAGTTGCGCGCGGACACTTGCGCGCGGACTCTTGCTCACTAGGACAGTTGCTCGCCGGACAGTTGCGCGCGGACACTTGCTCGCTAGGACAGTTGCTCGCTATAGGATCCTATGCAACTGTTATAGAGAGCAAGTGTCCGCGCGCAACTGTCCTAAACCCACTCACAAGGTATTGTGTCCATATTTCGGTATTACCATTCACAGAATTATTCTCACATCCAATAATATAATGGCTACTAGTAACTAACTGGATGGTGTAGGCTAATCTTGTATATTATTATTTACAATGAATCGTCTATGAATGATCTTCTTTCGGTATCAGAATATTATTTTTGTGATTATTTAAGATTTCTCAATTGATACTAATATTAATTTTATTTTTACATAAAATCTTACATATTTTCTTTAGGATTACATCAACAAATGAAAAACTATTGAATTCTCCAATTTCACCTAATGGTGTATCATCTAGTGATAGTAGTTTGGGTAAGATTTGTTTTCGTTTTTGTTTTTTTGTTATTATTATAATTAGATTAAATTAAATATTTTCTGAATGAGTAAAACATAAAAAGTGTGAGAGAGATAGAAAAAAAACAAATTCTAGTTACACTTTAGCTTGGCGTCAGGCACCAACTCTACCATCAATACGTAAGTGTTTAAAACCAATTTCGTCAAATGCTATGATTTAGTTCAATAAAATAATATGTCTCGTCTCTTTCTCTTTATAATTGGTGACGGGGAACAAAAAAATAAATTTCTATTGTTTCTTGTTTTTTTTTGTCTGAAGCAACAAAAGAAAAAAAAAGAAATCAATCATTTCTGCTGCTTTTTGTCTGCTCATTATTTGGAATAGAAAAAAAAAAAAACAAAAACAAAAACAAAATAATATTCTCATATTTTAATAACTTCTTACATATGCTTTTTTGTCTTTCTTTTGAAAGAAAAAGTGGCTCGTAAAAATAAAGAACATAATTTGCATGTATTCTTTCGTCATCTATAATTGGTTTTTTTTCATTTTTTTTTCTATTCCACAAAAAAAAAAAAGATAATTTTTATTTAGCTGATATTTATGAAGCTAT